CCCCAAAACCCCAAAACCCCAAAACCCCACATAGTTATTATTTAGAATTAGATATTAAGGAAAATAAATGAATTTTTGAAATTATGATTTTCATTATGAAATGGATGCTTACTTATCTTTCAAATTCTTAATGATAACTCCTGAATGGAAATATCCACAAGCTATTTTCTTTACCAACCTCACTTATTCATTGTCCTTTATAATTTGTAATTTTATTGGCTCTAAATAATCTTCCTAATCAGCATCACCAAGACCAAATTAATAATAGAAACCAAAACCCCATCCGTAAACTTAGGGTATCTCTTCATCACTCATTGCTAGACAATGTCTACCTCCAGCAACTACATCCTTAATTTTAATATGTCTTTTAATAAACCAGACTAATTTAACTGGACTGTTGATACTATATTAGTGCCCTAAGCCTAATCTCCCAAAATTACCCTTACCACAGCAGAATAGAATGCCATCCTTGTCTAAAAACATTGAAAATCCATCACCAGCTGAGACTTTAACTCCTGGGTTTGATTAAGAGAATGCACTGACTATAACATAAGGTTGATCACAGATTTTCGGAGTAAATTAATAATGAATAACACCTAGCTGCCCGTTATCAGGAGCGCCCCCAGCATAAGAGTATCCTAAATGATCTAATAATAGAGTGTGAGAAGTTCCACAAGATACTTAAACTATCTTTTTATCACTCATTTCATCGCAATACTATGGATTGCAGTAGTTCTTTGGTCTGCCTGATTTCTTGTAGTACTCAATTTTCTTAATCAATCTGCAATCAGGATTTGCTCCCCATAAAAAAAGTTTACCATCTGCAGTTACAGCACCACTGTGAAGATATCCAGCGCTAATATTCCTAATTTAGTGTTCGGCTAAAATTTTAACATGCTCTGGTTCATATCTATCAACAAAATCTCCCAATCCAAGTTGACCGCACATATTTAATCCCCAAGCAAACAAAAATCCTTAGGGCGTCGTGGCCATTGAATGCTACCATCCGCATGATATCAAGTCAATTTTAACTTGATAAAGGGGACCTCTAACCAGGCCTGGCTAAAATGTGTTCAAATTTTCATCATTACCTTGTCCAAGTTACCCAAATCTGTTCCTTCCCCATGAATATAATGAATTATTACTGTCAAGGGCTAAATTATGATGGTGTCCAGATACTATATCTTTAAATCTGAAGAAAAGACATCTAGGCTCAGTAACAAATGGATCGTCATTTCCTTATCCACATTTTCCTTAACGGTTATCACCAAAGAAATAAGTGTTAATTCCATTTTTAGGCTTTTTAAGATTCTTATCATTCAAGTCCTATTCAAGCATTTCTCGTTTAATCTTATGAATATTGAACTTGACAATCATCTCATTAATTTTAGATCCTTATGAATAAACACTATGACTTTCAACTTAAGATACCATTTCTTCAAGCTCATCATCTGATTTATATTCATTTACCAAATCCTCTTCTTAATCTTAGACCTCTTCATCATCAAGTTCTTTCATATCTAGCAAATCTTGCTTATCAAACACTCTTTTATTCATTTGACTGCTCATTAATCTTGTTTTCGACGGTTAACTGACTAAATTAATGTCACTCTTAATTTAAATCTGATCTGCATTTTTCAGTTCATCAAGTGGAGATTCATTTTAACTTTAAACATTGTCTTTTATTTTTTCTTACTTCACATCAATAATTTATATATTATTTGGCTGAATTTAAACGTTAAGAATGTCGTCCTCAAGATTGGGAGGAGTAATTCGTACAAATGAAGATTATGTATCAATCATTGATTTATGAACTACTTAAGAACTACCTCTATTTCTAGCTTATCTAATTTATGTTTGTTGTTACTAAGGTTAGCTTTTCATTCCAAAATCTTTTTATGTTACAAGAGCTTAATTTGAAGTTTAGCTACTGACTGGACCTACTAATGGTATTATCACACTTTTTCTGCTTGTTGTATTAGTATTGTATGCTTATTATTTATTCTAGGATTACGGTTGCTATCTTTGTTAAGTATTCTTGGTATTTTAACTTGACCTTAAAGGCTTTTGTTATTAAATTGTAGGCTTATTAATTATATTGGGTAATTGCTTAGATGTAACTTATTTTTATTGAGAACCGTTACTAATCACAGATTAATTTGAAGTACTTAATGGTCTACCGCCATAAACTTTGATGGGTTCATCATTATAAACATCAAAGTCTTAACTATGATTAAAGCTAAGTAATTGTGGATCCATACTTTCCATCTTCAACATAGGCTTCTTGGTAGCTGATATAGATATTTTCCCTTCTTCAACTAATCTCATTTTTTATGATTATGCAAGTTGAAATCCATCCTATCTCAGTTATTCTTTATTAATCTTATTAGGGGATGCTCTATTCAAATCCAACACACTATTTTGTGATATAGCACTTCTCACACTTTAGGCGGTATCAGGACGAGAGGGGTAAAAATTGATTGCAGATAATTCTGCAGCTTTTTTTGATGATCTCATATTTGGAGCTACCATTATTTGCTTAAGCTTCTTCTGAAACTCAAAAAATTCATAAAACATTTCCATTTGAGTAGTCTCTGTTATTTTCACATTTGTAAGCTTATTATCTATTTTTATCATATCGACAATTTACTAAAACATTCCATAGTTATCTTGGCTATCTGTCTATATATCTGCATCCTAAGATTCTCTAGCTGCTACCCTATTATACATTTTCCTAATTAAATCTCCAGTCTGCTTCTCTTTTCCAAAGTTTTCACTTAAATTTTGATTGTCATATCTAAGTTAATCTATCTCAAATTTGTAATCTTTGATTAACTATTCCTAATCTTGGCACTACTAACGGTATTATTCTAATGATTACTGACTAGAATCTAGGTTTTAATTGTTTTTAGCTATTATGTTTTCAAGATTTAGAACCTTCTTCTCAAGCATTCCTACTTTTTATTTATATACCATCAGCATTTCATGATCGTCAATGACCTCGTTGACTTTTGCCTTGTTCTCGACATTTTTAGCTCTAGTTGCAAATCTCAATGTTGAGAAGCTTTGATTCACATGTTCAGTGCTTGGACTAATGGTGCATATGATTGAGGTAAGAGAGTTACCACCAAGTGCAGATCTTAAGATTTAAGTCAGCTTACTGTCTCTGTAAGGAATATGGGTAGTCTTTGAATCAGAGAGCTTATATATTACATTCGCTAACACAAACAAAGACTTGTTAATATGTGATGTTTCTTCTAAAGATGAACTTCCACTTTCTGAGATTCTCTCAGATCCTGCAAGATCAACCAAGTTTAAAACAGAGTATTTTGTTCCATAGGATAGATGCACCTCAGAATCCCCAATAAATGAAGAATTTAGATCAGTAGATGCATTAGTTTATTCATAAACCTTTTTTGATTCTTTAGATCTGTTCTCAATAATGATTCTGAAAATAGTGTGAGACCTAGAGGAGTGTTCATGAATATCTGTCTGTCTATAATGTCTGCTTCTCTCCCCTAGAGTCAATATTTTCATCATGTCCTCTATCGAATGAACTCGAAGTGACTTTAACCCACTTACATAGTATCCCTCTTATGGGTCTTCTCTAATTCTCAAATTAGTGTTATTTGAATCAAGAAGATCATTACACGCCTCATTATAGATCTCCATGTAACTTGTCCAAATAGAAACATCTCTTTCCTCTTTTTACTCTTCAGCGAAGCCAAGAATCTCAGCAATAGCTATCTAAATTATACCTTTTTGATCCTTATTTCCTATCATTGTATGGGTTTTGCCAGAAGTTGTTTAGCCGTATGCAAAAATTGTCCCTATATTTCCACGTTAATTAAGTCATTTTACCATTATAGCCTTAAGTAACTCGATCAATAATTCCCTTGCAAGAATCGTAGTAGATATCATTATTAGAAGAGTTTAACTGATATATCTTGTCAAATATGAACGTGCTCTTAGAGGTCTTTTACCCATCAATGAGATGAGCACTATCCAATTATCCAAACTATCTTTTCTGTGCTGTATTCTGCTACTATAGAATCTTCATGATGGGATCTTCCATGTTTATTTTCTGATCCTATGAACTTCCTTCTATCTTTAAGAGGTTTAAATTGCAAATTTTATTTGAAAATGGGTTACTTTAATCGAGTTTTTATCAGAATCAACTTGCCATTAAGCTATTTTTTCATTGGCGAAGGTTGGGCGTATTCTGATACACACTTTGATGTTTTAGACTTTATCTTCAGACTTATCCATTTCTCTCAAATTTTTAATTATCAACCGAAGGTATCTCTATATTTATTTTAATGATTAATCTAATCACATGAACTTCATGCGATTATTACGGGGTTTTGGGGTTTTGGGGTTTTGGGGTTTTGGGG